TCTGATTTTATTACCTACTTGTTAAGTACATGTTTATCGGAAGGAAAACCACAAAGCTCTCCAGAATGTTGGGGAACTCTCCCTCTTGCTCCGATGTCTAAAGCTTAGAACATGCTTTAAACTCTCCTTACTTTTGAGATGAGTCCTCACTCCAAAACAGCTCCGCCATTTGGATACATGGTCTATATTACCGCTAAATCATAAAAACCAAAAGCTTACTCGATGCGAAGTATTTCTCGAACAACATGGCCAGAAAACAATCAAACAAACAAAACAATAATGAAAAAAACAAAACGAAACAAAACAGAAAAAACAAAACAAAAAGACTGATTTCCCGCTGGTCACGGCGAGAACTTTCACAAGGTTGTTGAAAGTTGCGAAACAAGGAAACGTTTCTTGTAACTAAGCCTGTTTCCAGCCCTTGAGTAACTTTTGGTCTCGAAAACAGTTGGAAGTACAGTTTCGTGATGTAGCCTTATGGAGAAGCTGTAACGGGCATCCACTTGCCTGAGAGTCATTGAACTAGTCTTGCCTCAACTTGCCTGATTGGGAAAGAGGAGGTTAAAATCCAGCAGCCTGATTTCAATTTCCATCAGCCTCGGCCAATCTGACACGACGGTTAATAATAATAACAATAATAATAATAATAATAATAATAATAATAATAATAATAATCTGTTCAGATTATTTATAGTTTCCCAGACGCTTTGACATTAAAAAAAAAAGGAGCCGAAAGTGAGTTATTTTGGATCGTTTTTTACGCTGTTAATATTTTGTATTGTAGAGGATTTTATGGAAATTATTGCTAAATGATGGTAACTTTATTTGTGTTTTTAAATGTACAATCGTAAATCTCACTACGTATAGGCAATTTACAAATGCTGCTTGAGATTGGCTTATTCAACACACACACAAAAATCAAAATTGCATCAAATCTGGGTTGTCCCAATTCCTATTTCTACAACAAAAGACGTAATATGTTGCTCTAATAGCTATATTTATCATTTTCTTGATTATGTAAAGTTGCTGCTTTTTGGCAATGCCTATGTCATTCATCATGCCTAAGAACGTAGAGCATTCATCTGAGAAAACGCCAAGGGAGCTCATGGAGAGATTTACAAATTTCACACATCTGAAAGTTCTACTCATTTCGTTAATCAAGTTCCGATATTTTTCTTTTTTACGTACTGCATTGTTGTACAAGTTAGATTCGAAACCAACTGTTAATTCTAGAACATATAGGCACTTGGACTGGGTTAGGAAAAGAAGATCTGGGCGATAATTTTCACCAGTTATTATTGAGGGATTTAGAAAACCAGTAACATCTGCATAGATTGAGGAGTTA